CTCGGTTATATCACGCTGACAGAAAAACAGCTTAGATAAAAACTGCGGAGTGTGAAGATGAATGCGTCTGTTCTCTGTGTGCTTATGTTAAATACTGAGCAGCATTTCCTATAGTCGCCGAGATTATCAGCAGCAGTTTAGTGTGCAGGAATACTTTATAAAATGCTTACTTCCCAAAACTGCTCTTCTTGTGCTTCATTATTTTATTTTGGGATCCATGTCTGCGCTCAAAGCTTGAATTAATTTATTATTAATTATATTTGTTATTAATTTATTATTTATGCCATTAATAATTCATTACTGGCACAACTGCATCATTTAAGCAGAGCTTCGCTACATTATATTTCCATGCTAAGTGCACTTGTAAATTAAAAACCAAAAAACACTTGTGTATTTTTTGTATGTTATTTCACATCTGATTGATGTATAATATCATGGAGCAGAATAATGTGAGTCTTGATGTTGATGAGATCCTTATGATACAACCCCAAATTAGAAAAAGTTGGGACAGTATGGAAACAATACAAATATAAAAAGAAAGATTTCTAAATTTACACGTATTCCAATTTTGGTTCTTACAATATATGAAAGTTTGGGTCTAGTAATCAGGTAAATTGGTTAATGATGTGATTTGAAACAGGTGATGTCAACAGGTGATTGTAATTATAATTTGGAACAAAAGCAGCAACCAAGAAATGTCTATTGAGATCCCACTATGTAAAACAGAAAAACAAAACATGCTATAAATAATTCAGTTTTTAATCGTTGGCAGAGGACTGGAATTCCGAATCAAAGGAAAGACATCTTTATAACATACAAACTAAAGAGGGGAAAGAAAGGAAAGTATATAGGAATGGGAAGGGAGACACTGTCATAACCAGACTCGATATAGGACACTCCAATTTAAATAGCTCCCTTTTTTTGTTTGTTTGTTTGTTTTAATAATAGAGACTATGTAAAGAGTTATCCTTCTACCGGTCTCACACTCCAACACAGTAGGTGGCGGTAATGAACCTTAAGCTGGTTTGTTACCTGCTATTAAACCAAAAAGAAGAAGAGGAAGAAGTCTTGTCTAGCCCTTTTGGAGCAAAGGATCACTAGTTTGCCAGCAAATATGTAAGAAAATTAATCAAGTATTTCAGAACCATGTTCCTCAAAAAAAGATAGGAAGACATTTGGATACTTCACCTTCAACAGTGCATAACATCATTAAAAGATTCAAGGAATCTGGAGGTATTTTAGTGTGTATAGAACAAGTGTACAAGCCTAAGCTGAACTACCTTGATCTCCGATGCCTCAGGTGGCACTGCGTCAAGAATTGTCATTCATCTACAAGCAATACCACTACATGTGCTCTCGACTACTTTGGCAAAGCTTTGTCAAGTACCACAATACATAGTCATATGACATGTCACTTGTATCTTTTTGAATGGGGAAAGGTGTAACTGTCAATATGGTGAATAAAGCCCGCCTTCTAGTACAGGAGCCAATCATCGATCGCTATAGACTAACGATACTCTGGGGGAGGGGTTTGGACCAGAAGTGAGTTTTTGCAGATTTTGTGTGATTTGGAAGTTTGGAAATTAAACTAAAGAGAAAGTTTTTGTTCAATTGAAATATTGATTCCTAATTTGAAATTCAATCGTAAGCTTGGCAAGCAAGTTTGGAGAATTTGATTTCTCCCCATTCAGAGAGAATGCTCAAGCATACTGCTCGAAAGGCATTTCAAAGATGGTGGAAACATGTACAGTGCTCAGATGAATCAGTATTTGGGAGAAATGGACGCTGTGTACTCTGGACCAAAGCAGCAACGGATCATTCAGACTGTTACCAGCAACATGTCCAAAAGGGTCTGTCATGGTATGGGGTTGCATCAGAGCCCTTGGCAAAGGTAACTTGCACTTTTGTGATAACACTATTAATGCTGAAAAGTACATAGACATTTTGGAGCACAATATGCTGCCTTTTTCCAGGGACACTTGTACATATTTTAAAAAAAGAAAATGCAAAACCACATTCTGCACAAATTACAAAGTGCTGGCTGTGGAGGCAGAGGATACCGGTACTTGACTGTCCTCTCTGCAGTCCCGATCTGTCTCTAATAGAGAATATGTGATCACAAAGCCCCTATACTGTTGCATTACATAGTAAATGCTTTTCTGCTCCAACTTTTTATGAAATGTGCTGCAGAAACTAAAATTGGAACATGAATTTATTTTGAAAAAAAAAAAAAGAATATATATATATATATAAATCATGAGGAACACATTAAATAATGTTTGTTGTATTGTTTGTAGTGAAATAAATGTCAACCAGTACGTTTTTTTACTTGTGTTTTCCATACATCCCAACTTTTTTGAAAATTGTTGTAGTATATCAGACAACCTACATAAAATACATAATAATAATATCTTCCAGCTATACCAAAATACATATACATATTCTATATAATATAGAATATGCATGTAGAATAGAGTAAATCTTTGTCATATTTCTTGCAAATTACCATAACCAAGTATAGCCTAAAATATGAATCAATGGTTCATATTAAATATGGTGATATAATACTTAAGGACAAAAGACCCAAATTCTTTCTCATACATAAATAAATATAAAATGAATTTTTGTTAGCTAAGGCTCATTTTATACAGGAAAAGATTTAGATAATTGAACATAAACATTTTATTCAGAGACTCAAACTGAGAAAAAAAAATTAATTATGCAAGTTATTGCAGTAGCTAATATTTATACCCAAAATGTAAGATACATTTTTGGTAAGCATGTAATTATATCTTTAAAATCCTGATGAGTATATAAAACAACTTACAAAAAAAAGCATATAAATTGTCAAATAAGTCGTAAAAATATATCTTAGAAAAATGTATTAATGGGACAGTTCACCCAAAAATGGAAATTACCTCTTCATTTATCCATTGTTTCTTCTATTGAACAAAAAAGAAGATACTTTGAAGAATGTTTTTAATGGCATGCATTCACTTCCAAAATAGGGGAAAAAACATAATATATCAATAGGCACTGCATTTTTAATTTTTTTTTTTTCGACAGTAGAAAGAAACTCAAAAGGTTTTGAACAAGTTTTTTGAATAAATTTACTCAACAAGATTAAGTTGTAAATTTTTATTATTGGGTGAACTATATATATCTCTTTTACTATTATTTTGATAGAGCCCAGGTATAGCTTATTTTCAGTGCATTTAGTCCATTATTGTTTCTATATGTGGTGGATGTCATTCCTCATCAGTCTATTTGCTGGTTACATGTATAGTCCTGAAAAGCTGAATTTGTGGTTCTCATAGGCTGTGAACTGTTTAATCGCACACAGGAACAGCTGATCATCTGATGCGCAGCACAGAAAGGAGAGCAGTCGTGTATGATGTCATCACAGATTCCTGCTCCGTTTCCTCTGTCAATCATCATCCTGTGCTCCATAACCAATCGTCAGCCTGCAGGTGGGTTGGTATTTAAAATCCTCATCCAATCAGATCACAGTAGTGGATACTTGCTGAGCTGTGACTTCCAGCTGACAATTCAATATTTTTAGCTTGAAAAGGAAGGCATGATTCAGCTCTTTGTTTATCAGATTATTCACAATCCAAGCAAATAAAGCAAGCAGCAAATGCAGTGTTATCCTATAGGTAAAAGGAAAATAACATTTTTTCTAATAATCATCTTTTATTATAAAAGTATAAGATCGTTGTGTGTGTATCATATGTATATTTGTGTATATCTACAGTGCTCAGCATAATTGAGTACACCCCATATTGAAAATGAATATTTTATCCATTTCTCAGTGAATATAGGCAATGTATTTTGGTGCATTTAAACAAAACAGATTTATTAAATGGATATATTTATTAAAAATATATTTTAGTCACAGAACATAGTCACATTTAGAAATTGAAGGATAATACATTTAAAGTTCCCAAGAAATCAATAACCATATGATTTTGAGGAATGGGAAAATGAAAAGCTGAAAATTCATCATTAAAATCACTGGAATAAATCAATTAATTAAACAATAAACTACTTTTCAACAGTTATTCAAAAATAGTTTATTATTTAATTACTTAGTTTATTCCAGTGATTTTAATGATGCATTTTCAGCTTTTCATTTCTCCATTCCTCAGTCACATGATCTTTAAGAAATCACTCTAATAATAATAATTAATAATAATAATAATAACAATAATAATAACAATAATAATAATAATAATAATAATAATAATAATAATAATAATAATTATTATTATTTATGAGTGTGTGTGGATGTTTCCCAGAGATGGGTTGAGGCTGGAAGGGCATGCACTGCATAAAAACTTGCTGGATAAGTTGACGGTTCATTCCGCTGTGGCGACCCCAGATTAATAAAGGGACTAAGCCGACAAGAAAATGAATGAATGAATGAATAGTTATTTTTTAGTGCAAAAACATTTTACAATTTTACAATGTGTTCTGTATTTTTGATGAAATAAATGCAGCTTTGGTGAGCAGGATATATATATATATATATTCCTCAACCTCAACAGTATGTATATGTATGTGTGTATATATATGTATATATGTATCTTGTGGCATTGGTATAGGCGGTTCACTCCACTGTGGTGAACCCAGATTAATAGAGGGAGTAGGCTGAAAAGAAAATGAATGAATGAATGAATGGCATTGGTATAGCGTTCATTCTCCTTGGGACAGCAGAAATAAGTCCTCCAAAATAAACTCCAGGGATCCAACAAATTTCCTCGAGGTGCAAGAGGATAGCAATAATTGTTAAGAGCATCTGGTTTAATGCACTGTTGGCTAGAGAGTAATAAATATGTAATCAGTCTGTTCGACACTGCTGTGTGTGTGTGTGTGTGTGTGTGTGTGTGTGTGTGTGTGTGTGTGTGTGTGTGTGTGTGTGTGTGTGTGTGTGTGTGTGTGTGTGTGTGTGTGTGTGTGTAGGTAGGTGGGGGCTGTAGCCGCAGCGCGTCTTAAATGCACTGCAGCATCCAGCAGGTTCTGCCTCTCCTGCGCCTGCTCTCTCTCACTCTCTCTCCCTCCCTCCCTCACTCCTCATCCTCCGTCCAGAGTGTCTGTTCATCCGTCTGTCCCGCACACAATCTCTCCATATCCCTCTCTCTGTCATTGAAACTTTCAGCACCTACACAGATCCTGCAGACCCTCCATCGACACACTCAGCGTCCAGGATGGATGTTCTAATGAAGGGATTCTCCATGGCCAAAGAAGGAGTGGTGGCGGCCGCTGAGAAGACTAAAGCTGGGGTTGAAGAGGCAGCGCTCAAGACCAAGGAAGGGGTCATGTATGTGGGTAAGTGCTGATGTATATATTTGTGTGTGTGTGTGTGCATGTGTTTCCTATCACATTGACAGTGGTGATAATAGCTGTGTTCTGTAAAGGTCTTTGCAATTATTCCCAATGGATGTAATGCAGATTTGATGGATGAGTCTGCATTAGTACATGCGTGTGTGTGTGTGTGTGTGTGTGTGCACGAGAGGGAGGTCTTGGTTGTGGTTTAGTCCGATGAGGAGCTGTGAGAGTGTAGCTACAGCAGCTGCAAATGTGAGAAACACGACTGATTTAAAAAAAATAGATGCTGCAAAAATGGTGCAGGGAACAAAACCTGGGGTGTGGTGAAGGACAGAGGAACGACAGGGTGCAGAGCTGAACGGGACAAAGTAAAAGCTCGTATAAACCATGACAAAAGCAGCGGGAACTAATATTGCAGAAAATAATGTTGCTGTTTAAAAAAAAAAAAGCTGCATTTAATCATTTAAATGATGTTGTTTTTATTCTATGTATCCATTAAGCTCAGGTTTGACATTCTACATTTTAATAGAATAAAGTACAATGCAAAATAATTGAATATTATGTTATGTAATGCATCCCCTCAGAGAATAAGCTGTTTGGAGAATCCATGCATAATATGCTTTCATTTAATATGTATAATACAATCCAGAACTCCTAGATATATGGATTTGGGAAAGCATGGATATGTTAATATAATTATATATAATACAAATAACCAACACTTCTAGATTGGGATTTGTATGCATTATATGAAATAATTAAATATATAAAATTAGTATTAGGCACTAGCATTACTGGATAGTGGTTCAAGAACTTGCATAAATCAATTATAATATAACTATAATGTGATATCAAGACAATTTATTTATTTATTTATTTATTTATTTATTTACTTATTTATTTGTATATTATATATTAATTAAGCAGCAGCTACATTCAGATAAAATATATTACAAAAAAAATAGAAATACTAGAAAAATATGCTATAGAATTATTTCATATAATATAATATAATATAATATAATTTAATAAAAATAATATATTAAAATATAATATATTATGATATAATATGAAATGATGCAATAAAAATAAAATAATTTATAAAAAAATATAATATAATATAATATAATATAATATAATATAATATAATATAATATAATATAATATAATATAATATAATATAATATAATATAAAATAATATAATGAGATAATTTATTATAATATATAATATGAAATAATATTGTATACAATAATATAATATATAATATAAAAACAATATAACATAACATAACATATAATATAATATAATATAATATGATATAATATAATATAATATAATATAATATAATATAATATAATATAATATAATATAATATAATATAATATAATATAATATAATATAATATAATATATCAATTATAGGCATCAGCATTCCTGGATAGTGTTTAATGAATCATGCATTCACTCATTGAATAAAATATTAGCAATGCAACAGCAGGTAATGACAAGAAATGTCTGTGTAACTATCAAATTAATAACTATGTCTGTTACTAATTATTTATCGTTCACTACAGTACAATGCTACAGAAATAGCTTTCATCCGAAATGATTTTACACTTTTTTTTTGAACATTCCAGCATGCATTTATTCATTCACCCATGCAGTGCGCTATTAAAATCATCCCAGCTGCACCAGCTAACAGTCTGCACAGCACTGTGTCCTCCATACACTATAAAGTGTTGTTGATGTGCACGTGAGCGAGAGGGAAAGAAAGGGAGGGCAGTGCACTGAGAGCAGATCAGCTGAGCACTGCAGCATTTCCTCCCTCCTCTCTGTGCTCGCCGGCTGCTTCTGCGTATGAGAGACAGAGAGAGAGAGCCGATGCAGTAGCACAACCATCCCCCTACACCGCCACAAACACTCACCGTTATGTCACAGTCTGCTCACGCTCATCAGCACACAAATGAACAGATGGAGGAGAGAGAGAGCGCAAGCGTGACAGAGACCCAAAATACAAACACTGGTTAACTTGGAAAACATCATCCTCCGGCATCTTTAACTGACAAGGATGTAGAGCTGCACCATTCTGAATAGACAACTTCAAAGAAAATGAATGATGCTGTGACATTTACTGTTTGCTGTTTTATTGGTGGAAACATTTTTTAAAAATGTATTATATTTTTATATAAAGTTTGTTTTTAAATATCACTTAGGGGAATGATTCAATAACAGATGCAAATATGAGTCATTGTTGGATGGATCAGCCATTTTGAAGAATATCTTGACTAAATTATTCACGGATAAAACATTTGAGGAGTTCAGATGCAAAAACCTTTAAATGTCATCTGAAATGTTCTTCTAAAATAAGCATTTTTCGGAAGCTCCCATGTGTATGTTCACTACTTTTATGGCAAAAATAGGCTCTTTGCATGTGAAATAGCTGAACAAAAATATTGGAGGCTAAGACAATTGCTCATTTAAGAAGTAAATATCAAATGGCATGGTTTTTGCATATAAACTTTATTTGAAGCGTTAAAGTGAAAGTTCACCCAAATAAAAAAATCATGTCATCATTTACTCATCCTTGTTGGAAACCAGTTTGAGATTCTTTCTTCTGTTGAACACAAAATCATATACAGTATTTGGAACGGATCTGAAAACCTGCAACCATTGACTTTCATAGCATTATTTATTTATTCATTTATTTTTTTTGGCTATCATTGAATGAGCATTCTTCACAATATCTCCGTTTGTGTTCAAACTAATAAAGAGTTCTAAAAGAAAAACTAATACGACAGAATTTTCAGTTAACTACTTCTAGGGGCCGATCACACTGAACACAATTTTTGGGTTGAGAGGCGCTCTTTTTGAATGATTTACCGATGGTCACTATTGTTTTGCATGCTGCGGAATGAACCGCCAACTTATCCAGCACATGTTTTTTTCAACCCATCACTGGAAAAAATCCGTTCACACTCATACACTACAGACAATTTTAGCTTACCCAATTCACCTGTACTGCATGTCTTTGGACTACGGGGAAAATCGGAGCGTCCGGAGGAAACCCACGCAAACACAGGAACACCATGCAAACTTCACACAGAAATTCCAACTGACCCAGTCGAGGCTCGAACCAGCGACCTTCTTGCTGTGAGGGGACAGCACTACCTACAGCGCCACCGTGTCACCTGGGGGTAGACATTTCAAAAATACAATTTATTGAGTAATTTAATAGATAGCATAAATAATTATTGGGACAACTACTGTTTTCATGTTACTGTGATGGTTGGGCTTAGGGTTGGAGTGGAGGTTGACGTTAATAAAATACAATAAATGGGAAATTCAAAAAATAATATAAATAATTTTCGTTAACTTCCAGCCGCAACCATATCCGATCTTGCAATAACCTTGCAGTGTTTGTGTTGTCAATACAACTATGAAAACTTTTGAAGATGGAGGAGAGACTAGTGGTTGCTGTTTTGAGTTATCTGGTGCTGTATGAATCACAAATCTTGAATATCACAATATTATTCAATTTTAAAATTATCAACAGCAACACTCGCGCACAATATGAAGCTGATTCAGTCATTGTCTTGTGACGTAAAAAGTGCACAGCACTTCTTTTTTTCTTGTCAACAAAAAAGTGTGGTGTGCCTTGCGTTTTTGGAACGTAAAAGTGCGTTTGGTGTGATCGGCCCCTTAGTTTCTAGGATGCTGATGAATATTTGAAGGCTTTTGGTAATATTTGCATGTGATGTGTTTTTGTGCCCTGAGGAAAGCTTTTAAGCTAAAACACATTGGTATTTATTTTATTTCATTATCTTCTCCTTCTATTCTAAGTGTTGCTGAAGTTCCCTTTTTTAGTTAGTTTGGTAGGGATCATTTATAAATGTCTATCTGTCAGCGCCAATAGCCTAACATTTTATTGCGCTGACATATAGCGCCGTGGTGCTCACGGTGACCTGAGTTTGATTCACAACTCGAGGTTCTTTACCAACCCTTCCCCTCTCTCTGCTCCCAATACTTTCCTGTCTGCAACCTCCACTGTCCTATCCTAATAAACGGTAAAAAAAAAAACTTTAAAAAATAATGATAAAAATGTCCATTTAAGTACTTCTGTGACAATCTGAATGTTTGTGTTTGTGGTTTTCAGACTAAAGACTGAATGCGTCATGATGACTGGTCAAATGTGAATCCACTACTGTCCAAATTTTAATAAATGTATGCAGTTGGCATGCATAATTTGCCAAAAACTGAAAATTCCATCCTCATTCTATCCTCATTCTAAACCTGCTTGATTACTTTCTAATATTGAAAAAAAGAAGATATATTGAAGAAATCTGGAAACCGGTAAACATTGATTTCCATTGTATTTGTTTTTCTAACACTGAATTTCAATGATTACTGCATTTCAACATAATAAGGAAACTCAACATTTTGGATGAGCACATTTAATTTTTGTGTGAACTGTCCCTTTAAGAACTCGTTGGTGTTCCAGATCACGATCTTTCAGCAGTTAATGGTGCAGCTCTGCAGGAACATTCTCTATCCTCAGTGCATTTTTTCATCACCTGCGTTTCGACTCAATCTTACCTAATCCAATCACATCAGCAATAAACTCAGCATGGTTGCGTGCGTGATGTAAGCAGTCAGTGGTCCAGCAAGGTGACCCTGTCGTCAGGGGGCTTCAGAGTGCTTATGTGCAGTAGGGCATGAAGTCATTACTCTGCTGGACTGTTGCGAGTGCAGGTTACTTATTCTCCATCCGCCAGTGAGAAACGCTACTGGATATTGCCCTGTGAGCGGCCTGTGATCTAGAACTGGGTGTTCTGTAGATGCACTGCTGTTGTCGTCATCTGTGTATGACGCAGTGGAGATTCTGCAAGCGCTTGATCCAGCAGCAGCTCACATTCCTGCAATACAGATAAAGAAAAAAGAAAGGAAGAAAGACTATCACAGGATATTAAGAGATCTGTTTTAACCCTCCTAATATTCATTA